CACCCTGTAATCCCAAGCTACTCGGGAAGGCTGAGCAGGAAAGAATCGCTGAAACCCAGGAGAGGGAGGTTGCAGTGAGCACGAGATAGCGCCAGTTGCAACTCCAGCCTGGGGCAACAAGAGCAAAACTGTCAAAAAAAAGGAGAGAAGGCCGGCACGGTGCTCAAGCGCTGTAAATTCAGCACTTTGGGAGGCCAAGACAGGGTGGCATCACACGAGGGTTCAGTGAGAGCGAAGACCATGCCTGGCTAACACGGTGAAACCCCGTCTCTACTAAAAAAAATCAGCAAAAAACCAAAAAAGCCGGGAAGTGGTGGGCCTGTAGTCGCCAGCTATCTCCGCAGGCTTAGGCAGGAGAATGGCGTAAACCCAGGAGGCGGAGCTTGCAGTGAGCTGAGATCGAAGCACTGCACTCCAGCCCCTGGCGACAGAGCGAGACTCCGTCTCAAAAAAAAAAAAAAGAAAAAAAGAAAAGAAAGGAAGGAGGGAGGGGAGGAGGGAGGAGGAGGAGGAGGAAGGAAGAAGGAAGGAAGGAAGGAAAGGAAGGAGAGCGAAGGAAGGAAGGAAGGAGGAGGATCTCTTCCCCCTACCCTCGGGTGGAAGGGCTGGAAAGTGGGTTTGAAACCTGGGAACTGCCTACTTCCTCCCATACATAAGAAACTTGGGTGGGGAAATCCTTTGGTCCACCTTAAATGCTTGCAAGCTGTGTAGCTGGGCCCCTCCCCCACCTTGCAGCTGGAGGTCCCTGCCTGAGGGCGCGGCCTCCTTTTGCAACCCACTTCTGGCTAAGTCCAGACCTCAAGAACCCCATCCGCTATCACACCACCTTTTCAGCAAGTGTGTATTGCCGGTACAGTGAGCCAGCTGGGTCTTGTGTTTGGTGCTGGGGCCCAAGGATGACTGGGGAAGGTTCTGTTCACAGGGTTTTCAGTCTGGCAAGAGACACAATTAAGCTGGTAAAATTGCAGGAAGAGAGCTGTGCCAGTTTCCCACAGAACCCATCTATTCATCCATCCACCTTCTTTTTCTTTTTTCTTTTGTAAATGTTTTTGTGGAGACGGTGGTCTCCCTGTTTTGCCCAGGCTGGTCTTCAACTCCAAGCCTCAAGCAATGCTCCTGCCTCGTGGACTCCCAAAGTGCTGGGATTACAGGCATGAGCCACCATGCCCAGCCTCTTTTATTCATCTTCTTTCCCTCCCTCCCTTCCTCTCTTCCTCTCTTTCTCTCTTCCTCTCTTTCTCTCTCTTTCTTTTTAATTAAGAATAAAGAAGGCCGGGTGCGGTGGTTCACGCCTGTAATCCCAGCACTTTGGGAGGCCGAGGTGGGCGGATCATGAGGTCAGGAGATCAAGACCATCCTGGCTAACACGGTGAAACCCCAT